AGTCACTTAAGCTTTACAGTCAAATAAGACACACACAGCGAAATACGTTTCAACTCTCGTCTTAGTCGGTCTTTCGAGCACTCTATGAGACACGGCGCACTGGGGAAAATCCCCAAGACTATCGCAAGGCTGACTCAAGACTCTGTCCTAGACTCTCCAGAACTGGACTTAGACTGCATCTGTCGTGGAGTATTCGCCAAGACCAACTCAAACTCTCTTTATTCATTTTCAAAACTCTAACCAATTACAAAGCAGAAAAAAGACTCTAGGGCGTAACCTTCAATCATAAAGCCAATCACACTAAGTACTGAATACGTCATATCTTTTGATTAATCGTTCACTACATTAATAACTATAAATACCAACTGTCAGAATGAGTAGTCAGAATAGCGACGGTTATCTCGTAATTAGTTCCAAATCACTGAGCCAAGTTCCGTCCAAAACTCCAAATAGGCCTAAACGATGACAGACACAACACATCAATTCACTCGTAATCAGCTAATTAAGTCGATTAACAGATACGCAAAAACAAATTCATGACAGAACTAATGGTCTGTAGAAAACTGCATCCGCCAAATGCCAGAACGCACGTGAGGCCCGTGACTTCAAGGTATACACGAATTGATACATAAATAATGTGTCAAGTGCACTCTCCCGTGAATTCGAAAAATCAAATCTACATTCGAGAAATATACACAGAACAATTAAACAAACATGTTGCTACTTGAGGCGTGACAAAAATATACTAACATATACATATGTGTTGACTCAGGAACACACGAAACATTAAAGAAACATTTTCAGTTACACCAACGGCGCTACTTACGTATCAATACACTCGGGTGATCAGGTGACTTATAACACTATTACAAAAGTATGTATTCTGACGCGTGTAATGAAGTAGGCACAAACACATACAAGTATAATTACTTGAAAATGCCAAAAGCGTTCACTAAAGACCGTCATAACATTCACTTCCGTGAATATCACTGTCATGAAGTTGTAGGGTTTCTTACTCACTACTCCCCGCTAATGACGTACTTTGTTATACTCGAACCAATCAAGCAATCAACCAATCTGCCTCAACTCCATAGTTACCTAGTTTTGCGATTTATCAATTTATTCTCAAAAAGTGAACTTTGAACGAACTTCAGACTGACCATTGCGAATGAAATTTCAATTGTTAATTCTGCGTAATCGATATATTGTGTCAATTGAGAGGTCTTACAGAAACTTTAATCTTCTGATCCGGCCCGGGCCCCAATCGATAAAACTGTCCAGGGTTATGTTTTCAATTGAAATGACATTTGGTGGATGTGCCGATCTATGACGAAGAGGGTCACATGACAAAGTCGCTATAGTGGGAATGATCGTTACGACTCGTACATTAGTATGTCACGCCTCTCCCATTGATAAATAGACGGAAAGTCGCCCTCTCGCGGTTACACTTGCCATACACGCCTCTTTCCACAGCACAAGGATTTACCAAAACCAATAAAATCATAGACCTTAGAAAAGAGGGACGTGCAACTGCGGTATTTCCTTTCATGTAAACGTGAGTTATAATCTCAGATTCGTAATCTCTGTAAATAAATTATAGCGGGGTTTTACCTCGTTATGAGCGCATGCGCACTTTGCGTAATTTAGAAAGTCTCGTGATATGCGTGAGCAAGATTATGCTAATAAGCGTTTAGTTGAAAACATTATGGCGGCCTCTTCGAGTGTAGATTTTGAATCTTCCGAGTTAATAGACGTTTTTAATGGCATTGACGATCTATCAGCAGATGGTTGTGTTTCTGGGGAAGATCATGATATTTCTAACCAGGAATGGACCACCGATGAAGAGGAATTAGTAGAAGAAATCAGCAGCTCGCTTCTCTAAGGTCTATGATAAAATAAATAGTGAAAAAAATTATATAAATAGTTTCGACTGCTTTTCTGAATATGGCATATTTATTCTCTATTTGAAGTTTACTCCCCAATTAGAATCGCGGAAGTACGTTCCGGTCACGAATGCTCTACGGGCCTTTCAGGCTATTGGTTTGTTTGAGTCGAGCAGACGTCACGGTGTTGTTCGCGGGAAATTAGTTTAGTGTGTGTTTCAAATATGCATGGTTCAGGCAAATGTGATAATTACGTACATCGACAACTAATTGAATTCATCTGAAATTTATAATTGTAATATATGATACACCTTATCAAAATAATCTAAATCAATATCGTGACGATAATGTGTCGTCTAGATTAAATATTGAACACATGATTAATTGTCAACAGTTTAATACAATCGTGTTTGTATTCAAAACGCTGCGAAATGTAAACGTGGGATAAATAGGATATCATAATGTCACCCCTAAAATATCGTGTTTATTAAATCCGTGAACATGCTTAATAAACCAGATATATGGGTCACTCTTGAGATACACGCTCCTCTATTTGTTATGCTCAATAGTTCTTAGTTAAAAAACTAGATGCGAAAGATGTGTAAT